GACGCCTGCTGTTTCTGCTGCTTCTTCCAGTATTCAAGGTGCTGAGCCCTCCGTGATACTTTACTTTAGTTTTGTGGAATTTGCCGAGCAAAGCAGCGCCAAGGCAATGATTGAATACTTTCGCAATATCGTTACGAATCCGCAACCTCTCAGTTTTCTCCTTGATAATTCGGTGGTGTGGCCTGAGTCGAGTTACTTCACTCCACAGAACATTCAGGCGCTTTTGAGTGTCCGAACGAGCCCCGCACGGAATCCTATTCACGATCAACTTCCCATGGACGCCGTTCTGGTTCCTACAGCAAACACCCCTCGTCATGTACTGCGAAATCGGCCGTGTGTCTTTGGAATTGATGGAGGTGAGAAGACGCTTGACGCCACTGCGGATGCAAATTCCTCTTTGTCATTTTCTGCGGGTGTCTTCGCAAACCCGAGTGCTGTTTGTGGCGGCAGCGGCGTGGGCGCAAGTGGCCGGAAGGTGGCGTCTGTCGTGGCCGCCGCATCGGAATCGCTGCCGTTGCGTCCGTCGTCGACGTCTGCATTACAGACGGAGCGATTTCACGGCGATGCGGCGGGGGAGGGATTGGACCTTAACGCCATCGTGAGCGCCGTGGCTCCAGCTGTGATGACGAACACGTGGGTCTCGGAGACTGCGGAGCTTCCGGGTCACAATGACCACGTCTTTAATCCGATCCAGGGGTCGTGGCTGACGGATGTGACCGCGTCGACGCTCGGGGGCGATCCGTTGGCGGGCGTTACGTTCAGTGAGGAAAATGCACACCCCACGACAGCCCCCGCTCCCAATGCCTGCACTGCCGAGGCGGACGGCAAGGACATGTGGCCACCATGCGTACCGTCGTGTTTTCACCAGTTCTTTGATAGCGAGAGCGATGCCGACGATGACGACGATGGGAAAAAGAACTGAAAACGAGGCGGGGGGTCAAAAGGGGGGAAAGAGAACAAAAAGAGCAAAACAAACAAAAAACAAGAAAACAAAAATAAAAAGGTTGCGCGAGCACCTGCGCAACTCTCAGGATTTGTACAACAACAAGAACAACAAAAGAAAAAAACAAAGACACAAAAACGGTGCCATGTATACATGCACACACATATTTATATAAATATATAAATGCATATATATATATATATATATTGTTGTAAATCATAACAAATGACTGTTAGGAAGGAAGAAGAAAAGGAGGATTTTTTTTTTTGTACTTTTTGATTGACTTTTTGTTACTGTTCTTTTTTTTTTTGGTGGGGAGAGGGGGGAGAGGGGGGAGGGGCGGGGCTTCATTTCGCTTGCATAAACACACTTTTTTCTTTGTATATCTCTACCATATATCTATATATATATATAGATATATATGTGTCTATCTACATACATGTTTTTATGTTTATTTATGTGAGCGAATGACTTGATTGTTAAATATTAAATCCATGGCAATTGTTTTATCATATCATAAAACTTTTTGCTTTTTTTTTTGTTGTTTTGTTTTGTTTTTTGTTTTGCGTAGTGCTGTTGCTTATAGATGCATCTTTCACGTTAACATCACTGGGCGTATTACTTTTGCTCTTTTTTTTTTTTATTTATTTATTTATTTATTAATTATTTGTGTTGTATTTATCTTTTCCCCGGCTGTTTGTTGTCTCCGCAAAACGTTTATGTTTACAATTTTAAATGGTGGCCATGCCTCCACCCCCCACCTTCTTTAATACTCCCTGTTAGATAGATCAAAAGGAGGTGGAGAGAAAAGAAAAAAAAAAAAAAAAGAGGAAAGAAAGAAAGAAAGAGAGAACACCCCCTACCATTACCCCCATTTGTATTCATTTGTATGTATCCATTTTCCGTGAAGCATGAAAGATATTAAAAGAAGAAGAAGAAAAAAAAATATATTATGAATGATAATAAAAATAAGAAGAGGAGTTGTGGTGGTGGTGGTGATCTGTTGGTCCTGTTATTCGTGAGCACAAGAGGGAACGAGAGAGAGAGAGGGAGTGTGTGGTGACGACATCAGGGACAACACAAACACAAACAGACAGACAGACAGAAAGAAAGAAAGAAATAATAAAAAATAAAAATGATAAAAATAATGTATTGCATCTGCACATTAAATGTGTGTACGTGAGGTTTTATCTAGCCTCAAAAAAAAAAAAAAAAAAAATAATAATAATAAAAACGAAAAACAAACAGCTTTGACAAACTCTTTTACTCTCTTTTGAGAGGAGCGGAGGACACCGCAATGGGGGGGGGGGGGGAAAGAAGAAGGAAATACATACATACATACATATATGCTGTAAAGTCAATAACCTCTTTTTTTTTTTTGCCTATACATTCCGTTTTTTTTTTTTTTTTTTTCTTTTTTTTCTGCTGCTTCTTTTTTTTTTTATTATTTACTTTTTTTTCTCCCTCTCCGTGTGTGTGTGTGCATGTTATGATGTTGATGATGATTAATTGTCTTCTCCTTTTTGGTGGTGGATGTGCGTGATTGTGCCTGCACACAAAAACACACATGTGAGTGTGTGAGTGCAGCACACATTCATGTTAAACGGAGCGGGAAACGAATATGAGTGCTCTCGTCACGCGCACCTGCACACATCGCTCACACAAATTTCACCTCCCATGACTTTATTCCCCCCCCCCCCCCTCTCCCCGGGAGTTGTGTGATGACGAAATTCCACCGGCATCGAGAACGTCGAGAGGGCGAACGGATGGTGGCAGAAAATTTATTTGGGTGGATGGGGGGCGGGAGGGGCGGGAGTGTGAGGCTCCGAGGGAAAAAGAAATCAAGAGTCAATTAGACACACCCACACCCGCCTAGAAGAGTGTACAAAGCACGCAAAAGCTAAAAAAAAAAAAAAAAGAAAAAGTACTAAAAGCGAGGAGGATGTCGAAAAGGCCGTTTCTTCTTTGGGTTTTTATTGTGATTTCGAATTTATTTATTTATTTTCCTGCTGGTCTGCTTCTTGAAGAGTGGGCACCGTGGGTGCTGTCTTTTATCCACGTTTGTTGTCATTTGTTTTTGTCTTTTACTTTTTTTTTGTTTTGTTTTAAGCGTTCTTAAATGTCAGATCCGCTCCGTGTGACGGTGGAGTGTTGGGAGAACCAGCGGTACCACCCATTGAAGGGATGGGGGTTTTATCGCTTGCCGATGGATCGCAGCACATGGTCGAACAAGAAGGGCGACACTGTAATTTGCCGTGACAGTTTCCTCACCCCGGTTGGGTGGGTCTGGTCGTCTGACTGGGAAGTAGCGCCGAACGGGAATGAAAGTGATGGCTGGTTTTATGCTGCTGATTTTAGCATCCCGACGCGCTTCTGCTCCGCCATACCGAATGCAATGAGTTATGTACGGCGACGGCGTTGGGTCCGCACGCGGATGCAAGTTGCGGCGGACACCGGCGTTGATTCTGTGCTGCTTGATGCGTTGAGTCTCTCTTCTAGCTTTCAGGCCGATCCACGCTTCGTTTGGCTTAGCACCTCATTCTACGGCTTTGTTGGCGCCTCTGTGAAGGAGCAGCGGGAGAATCAACGCCTCCAGCATCTTAGTTGTTATCATTTACATCGACTTCTCGACATTTCTTGTTCCGAAACGAGCGTGGACAATAATGATGACGATGATGATGTGTGCGGAGAAGAGAAAAATGGACGCGGTTCCCCCTCTCCCTGTCGACATCGCTCTGTGACAACAGAGGTGTTGCGTTGTGTATATCGATACGGCTTGCCGCAGTGTCTTCGCTCCGCGTTATGGCTTGAATGGTCAGGTGGTTCAACTCTTCTTCGAGAATCGCCGCGCATGTATGATGAGTTACTTGAGCGTTCTGACCGTGTGCATGGACAACCTCTGCAGGATATTTTACAGGACGTTGTGCGAACAGCACCACGACATCCATTTTTTGCTAAAAAAGGAGGTGGTGCAGAGGAACTTCGCAATGTGCTGCTTGCGTTAGAGCTAGCCTGTGTTTTGCCATCATATCATCAGGCGTTTAGTTACATTGTGGCAACTGTTCTGTTGAACCTTCCCGCTCGAGAGGCTTTTTGGGTTGTGACGGCGCTTTTTAGCGGGTTTTTGCCCTCCGGCTACCATGAGCACTACACCTTGCAGTATGACCTGCAGGTGTACAATGAGATTGTTGCACAAAAATTCCCAGACGTGCATGTGCATTTTGCGTCAAAGAGTATTGATGTCTCTGTGTTTGCAAGCGGATGGCTACAAGGTTTGTTCTGCGCCCACTTCCCGTTCTGCACGGCTGCCCGTGTTCTTGATGTTCTGCTTGCTGAGGGCGATAGCAGCACGCTGGTGCGGTTTCTTGTTGCATTTACGGGAAAATTTCGGTCTGAGATTTTGACGATGGACAGCAGTGGATCGCTGGGCTACTTTGCGAATGAGTGGGCACGAAATTGTTTTAACATTGAAGACGTTGTGCGCGCGATGGAAAAGGACGGCCTGAGGTCGGTTGTTCTCTCACGGAGGGAGGAACTAACGGGTGCCACTGTTGCGTCGTGATCTCAGACACTGTTGCTGCTGGTGATTGGTGCTTGGTTTTTGGATTCTTCTGTCGCTTGAATTGCCGCATGGGAGACGTTGAAGGGGTGTTGTTACTTCTTCCCTCTTTTCTATTGTGAGTTGTTATCATGACTGCAAATTTTTTTTTTTTCCTTTTCTACCTCCTATGAACAACAAATTGTAAGGGAAATGTCAACGCAATCACACCATACGAGGGAAGGAATAAGGGAAATAAAGGAAAAAAGAAAAAAGAAAGCAAATTTGCACTTTCCATGCGGTGGCTTACTGGATTTAAGAGGGTTGCTTTGCAGTAGCTGCGTTTACACGCACAAGTGTGCTTGTGCGTTTAACTTTTTTGTTTGTTTGTGTCTGTGTTGGATTTTTTTATTCTTTTTTGAAATTTTTTTTGCTTCTGTTTATTTACATAAACGCATATATATATATATACACGTACATACGTATATGTTTTCAACGATATTATAGGCGCAAAGGGTGATGTGGACGGGGGCGCTTAAGGCGCATCAACACCTGCGTACCATGCGGCGTTGGAATGAAGCGCGTGTTGGGGTTGGTCAGGACGGCATGGTGAGCAATGAGCGGCGTTGTGAGGGGGGCGAGGATAATGATAGAGCGACGCATGCCACATCTCATGCACACATCAGCATTGAGTGTGACAGGGGGGTAATGAAACGCTCACGGGATGTGGCGACAGAAGGTGATGGTAATGATTCGGGCAGTCAATTGACTCCGCTTCTCGTGGGATTTACGGGTAGCGCATCCGTGACGGAAGAGAGAGGCGTGATGGAAGAAGTCGGTGATGATGGTGCGGCCCACAATGCAGTGGAAATGGTGTCGCATTCTACCGAGGTTGCAGTGTGTGAGGTGATTGTCTTGGATGATGACAGTCAAGGCGCTGAGCAAAGCAATGTATTGTCGTCGAAGAACTCCACTCCAGCGTCTTATTCGGGGAAACTAGAGCAACTACTCAACTCGGAGAAATCTGCACTGGTTTCCTCAACAACTAGTGGAGAATCACCACCGTCTATGAAATTATCCACGGAGCAGCATCATGTCTTTGATCTTGTTGTAAAGTATGGCCGATCTGTTTTTCTTACTGGAGGTGCTGGCACGGGTAAGTCCCACCTTCTTCGAGCTATTATTGAAGCATTGCCGCGGTCTTCTACCTTTGTTACCGCCACCACTGGAATTGCAGCACTTAACCTTGGAGGATCCACACTTCATAGTTTTGCTGGTTGCGGCATTGTGGACTTTCAGACGCACAGTGCCGAAGATGTGTGTGACACGGTGCGTAGCAAGTCAAGGGCAAAGCGAAATTGGCGATTCTGCAAGGTGCTGGTGGTGGACGAGGTGTCCATGATGGACGCCTGGTTCTTTGATGTTCTCGAGTACGTGGCACGAAAGATTCGAGGGGATAATTCGCCTTTTGGCGGCATTCAACTTGTTTTGGCTGGCGATTTTCTGCAGCTTCCACCTGTGGTGAAGCATAGTGGACAGGATCCACGTTTTTGCTTTGAGTCGGAGGCGTGGTGTCGTGTCAATCCACGTGTTTGTATCCTCTCGCAGAGGTTTCGTCAAAATGATGAAGGTTTCTTTAGGATGCTAAATGAAATTCGCTGTGGGGTACTCACGGCAGCGTCGCTTGCGCTTTTGGCTTCCCTCTCGTCGACCACGACGGTGCGGTTTGTGCAGGAGGCGACCAGGGACGTGAGGGCAGAAGGCGTTATTGAGGGCACGTTGGGGACGTCGCCACCCTCCCTGCTCACTGCCAGGGATGTGGTGGACAGCCGTGGGCGTACAAGAGCTGAGCGCTACGACGGCTTCAGTATTCTTCGCGCCCGCCGGGCGGAGGTGGACGCCGTGAACTCTGAGCGATTTAATGAATTAAAGACCGAGATTTTTTCTTATCAAGGGTTTCACTGGGGCGAGGGAAAATACCCGGCGGACCTCCCGGCCGTTGTTTCCGTGCGGATTGGCTGTCGCGTGATGCTGCTGAAAAATCTTGACGTTTTTGTGGGGCTTGTGAACGGCAGCGTCGGCACCGTCGAGAGTTTCATTGACATTCGTAAGGTGCGTGACTTTTCGAACAAAACTACACCGGTAGATCTCCGTAATATGGCAAAACACACTTTTCTGCCCGTGGTGAGATTTGACACGTGCAAAGACAACGGTAGCAAGGACAGTGCCTGTGGACGTCTCGTCATGGTTGAGCCTCACCGATGGTCTGTGCTTCAGGGCGACAGGGAGGTGAGCTACAGTGTACAAATTCCTCTGCAACTCGCGTATGCAATTACGATACACAAGTCACAGGGAATGTCTCTCTCGCGTGTTAATGTGGATTTCAGGGGCATCTTTGAGGAGGGACAGGCGTATGTGGCACTTTCACGCTGCACAGACTTGAATAGTCTTGTCATTGAGAACTTTGACGCCCACCGTGTGAACCCCAACGCAAAGGCTTTGGCCTATTACAAAGCACTGGCAGACGCGGTGGAAGCGGAGGAAAAGGCAGAAAAGAAAATGCTGCACGCTCGTCTCCGCCACCCGTGGGGATATAACGACCTGGATGATAATGATAATGATGATGATGATGGGGATCAGGAGGATAATCAGAGCCACAGCAGGATCCATTCTGAGGCTGCCCGTAAAAGGAGGAACGTGGCGGATGTCGTGGAAGAAGTCCGTCAGCGCATTACGCCATCTTATATTTTATGGTCATCTTTACGGCAGCGTGTTTTATCCACCGCTGAACTCGCCTCATCTGTACATGGAGCACTACTTGTGATGGACACAACGTCCTTACTTGCCTTGGGGAGTTCTCATAATTCTACGGCACTCTACGAGAAGGTATTTGTTAAGAACCAAAACATGATGCGAGTGCCGCGGTTGGTGAAGGAGGAACTGCTGCGCACGGCTTCCGTTAGTGGGGTTGAAGTTCGTGTGACTCCGACAGTGTGTCTTAGCTTTAGCAGCCTGCGCTCAAATTCACCTGGCGGCAGTTTTGTCCACGAGGCAGCAGAGTTGGCTGCAGGGACACTCTGCCTTATGGAAGACGCAAAAAATGATTTTGTTTTGGATGAACAACGCGCTGGGGAGTCGAGACCGCTGCCGCCTTCGGTGCCAGAGTGGGAGGGTTTTTTTTCACGTTGTGATTGGAGTGATTGCGAGCTCAACAACACGTGTGCAGGACCCTACAGTCATCCTCATCAGCAGCACATTGAATTGCTAGAGTTTTCATGCTATCTTCTTGAGCAGTACAGTTCACACCAGGCCGTGCTGGTTTGCACGGAGTCTATCGAGTTGGCGGCGCGTGCGCTTGCTGTTGGTTTGCGTGTGTGTTCCATGATGTACTTGTGCCCGGTAGATTGGGCACGAATTTTGGATGAGGAAGGAAAGAGCAAATAGTGAAGAAGAATAAAATGGTCTGGAGGAAGCTGTTTGATTAGTGATTGTTGTCTCTTGTATCCAAGGGAGCCGCAGCTTAATATCATTTTTTCGTTACACGCCGGTGGGAGGTGTGCTTTTCGAATTCCACTTCAGAGTGTTGTCCCTTTTTTCATTTTTTTCATTTTTTTTTTTCTTTTCTAGCTTTCTCTCCACACACGTATATATATATATACATATATTCGTCTTTGTTTCTGCGGGACCGGACTTTCGGTGCCCGGTGACGTTTTGCGAGGCAACAAAGGGAGAAGGAGCACAAAATAATTGGTTCATTGAGGGAGAAGATCAGCGATGGTGAAGGGTGACTGCATACGGGCGGCCCACCTGCTCATCAAGTTTGATGGGAGCCGTAACTGCGTTTCTCACCGGACAGGGAAGAGCACCGCAGATCTCACGTACGATGCGGCGCTTGCTGAACTGAAGCAGTGGGCGAAGAGGATAGCGGATGGCGACATAACATTTGAGGATGCGGCCCGCCAGCGCAGTGACTGTGGCAGCTACAACAGCGGCGGCGACTTGGGGTTTTTCGGCCCCGGTGTGATGATGAAACCGTTTGAAGACGCCGCTCGTTCGCTGAATGTGGGAGAAGTCAGCGGTGTTGTGCGGACAGAAAGTGGTCTCCACATTATCAAGCGGCTCGCGTAGGATTGTTGCTACCGTTTTGCTCCTTGAAACGGTTGAAGAGCGAATGGTAAAAAAAAAAAAAAAAAAAAAAAAAAAGAGAAAAAATGCGGCTATTTATTCATTTTGTTTATTTTTATTTTGTATGCTTGCTTTTTTTTCTTTTTCTTTTTTTTTTGTATGTGTATGTGTGCTTGCAAAGGGGCTTGGGGACATGTGTGTACTTCATACAACACGCACCCTTCATGAATATTGTATTGCGCTGCAAACACAAAAGTACACTTCCCCTCTGTTTCTTTTGCTTTCCTTCTTTTTTTTTTTTTTTTTACCCTTTTTGCTTCTCTGCTTTTATATTTGCGTGCGACTCTGTATCCCTATTTTCTTAACATTTACCAGGCGTTTGAAATGGGATGTGTGATTTCGTTGAGAATGCTGCTTTTTTTTTTTTTTTTTCTCTTATCCTTCCCTCTCTTTAGTTTACCGGACGAAACAGGAACAGCACTTCTTTGAAGGCACATAAAGTGCATATTTGCATTGGTTTGCGGAAAGAAGAAGTACAAGACGTGAGTGCGCGTCAGCAGAGAGGGAGGGAGGGAGGGAGGGGGGGAAAAAAAGGAAGAATCCGAAGTGAACAGCTCTCTCTATGGCGCACGCTGAGCTTGCCGAAGAAGAAATTGCTGCCATTCGCCGTGAGCTGGACACCCTCAAACTGCAGATATCCACCACATCACCTGACTCATCTCCCAGTTCGCTTGATGGTGCAACGTCGACGCCGAAAAGGGGCGGCGATGACGCCAGCCCACAGCGATCCGTTGACAGCCTATTTGAGCGGCTGACACAAGAACAACAGCGAACAAGACAACTGGAAAAGGAAATTCAGGCTCTGCGCATGAGTCAAAAACAAATGAACACCGAATCGCTGGATGAAATAAGCGCAAAGAAGGAGGAACTTGACAAGCTGATGCGTGAGCGAGATGAGTTGCGTGATTGGCTGCAGCGGGGGGTGAATGAATGTCGTCGCGTTGCGGAAGAGGCGTCGCGACTGAAAAGGGATCTTGAAGAACGGACACGGCGCTGTCAGTCCCTCGAAACTGTGAAAGAGGAGTTGCAGGGAAAGATAAACAAGATACAGCGGCTGCTGATTGAATCACAGTCGCAGATTGAGCGATTGCAAGAGAAACAGCGCTTGTTAGAGGCTTCCGCGGGTGAACACGTCATTGCTGAGAAGAAGCTCATGGAGGTGAATGAGGAGATGCAAAAACAGTATGAGGCTCTTGTGGCTGAAGCAGAGTCCCATCGCCTCCATGCTGAGAAGCTTGAGGATGCGGAAGTGTGCGTTCAGCTTCTTACTGAACGTCTTCGTCAGCTTCTGACGCACGTGGAGCGGTTGGGGCAGGCCGTACGCAAGGGTTGTGTTGAGGATGTGGCGGTAGATGAATTCTTCTCGCGTGAGAATGTCGCAGAACCGCAGCACCCACTGGATGAACTTGTCGCACGCGCCAAGAGTCTTCCGCATACCATCGCCATTGGCATTCAGAAGCTTCAGGAAAATATTGTTGCCTTCGTGGCGGAGCAACGGCGCCTTCGAGCGGAGCAGGAGGCGACGCAGCGGGACCACCTTGAGGCGCTTCACCTGGAGAAGCAGACGGTGCTGCACAGGTACGAGAAGGAGAGGGAGACGATGATGCAAGAAATTGCACAACTCAGGGGGGAGTTGCTGCGAGTACTCTCAAAGAACGCAGTAGATGATGATGAGAGCCCTGACCTTCAGAAGGCGCGAATTATTGAGATAGAGGAATTGCTAAGGTCGAATAAACAGCAGGCCGAGGAGAACGAGAGGCTGCGAAATGAGAACGAGGAACTTCGGCAAAAGCTACGCCGTATGAAAATTGACTGGAGAAAAGTCCATGAGAGTCAGTTGCGCTTCCAGGAGCTTCAGGTGGAGGTGGATATGATCGCGCGGACGAATGAGAAGATACAGAGGGAGAACGAGAACCTGAAGATGCTCATTGAGACCCGTTTTGGGCAGCTCCCGCCGGATAAAAAAATCGTAGAAGAACTGCACGACGACCAGCGGTATTCAGGGGTCAATAGCAAGGAAAAAGGGGTGTCGCTCATGCGTCCTAGCTTTTCCACCGTCATGATGAACAGCACTACCGACGGGAGACGCGGTTCGAGCGGGAGCCCTTCTGTGTCGTACAGTCATTCACGTCGCAGTGCTGAACGCGAGGTATTTCAGGAATGGAAGCGCATGGTGCTCAGCGGCTACATTGAGTAACGCCACTTTATTCTATCGACATTTATATATATATATATATATATATATATATATATTTATATTTTTGTTTTTTTTGTTGGGGATTTTAATTTTTTTTCTTTGTGTGAATTTATGAAGCATTATGTGGCTTTTGTGTTGTGGAGGGAGTCACACGGCTTGCTGATCGTCGGATAGGAATGCAACGGCAGTTTATGTGTTTGCCTGTCTTTGGGATCGCCCTTTTTTTGTTTTTTGTTTTTTTATTATTTGGGGGCAGGCACTTTGATGTGCCATCCACTCCGTGTTTTCAGTCGGGAAATTTACTGCACGGCTTCGTGTTTTTTTTTTTTTGTCTTTTATGTGTGTTTTTGCAAGAGGAAAGGAAGTAGGGCTTGTCTTTTTTTTTTTTTTTTTTGGAGTTGCGGCAATGTTTACATCGACGTGGAGGTCCCTGGCGCCTCGGCCACTGAATCGCGTGACGCTGCTTGGCGCGATGCATGAAGTGCAGAGGGGGTTTCTTGGTCAATCCAGTGTTTTTCAGTTTACTCTGACATGCCTGCTTTTTGAGCCCCCAAAGCGGGACCAGGCAGACAAGAAGCCTATCGCGACGCCCCCATCTCCAACAGCGAAAGGGGGCGCGTCGCAGTTTGTGAAGGAGCAGTACACTGTTCGCTGCATGGGGGATGAGGCGTACACGGAGGCGCTGAACAACACGCTGGAGGCGGGTTGTATTGTGCGGGTGATTGGGCGGCTGAAAACATTTGAGGTGGCGGAGGGCGGGAAAAAACAGTTGTTTCCAACTATTCTTGTTGAACAGGGACGGTGGAGTCATGTCGCACTCCTGCATTCATTGAGAAGACAGCGGCGTGATTGGCAACTGCAGAATGCTCTGACAGAGACTCGGAATTCAAAGTAGCCGTAGCCAATTTATCAATTTTCCTTTCTCTCTATTAATTCTCACAGAAGAGGGTAACACTCATAGACACACGTGGCGGCCGACCCTTTTATTCCTTTGTTGTTGTTGTTGTTTCTGCCGTAAATTTTGTTGGTGGTTTTCTTTGACCACCTGTGACATGTCGTTTGGATCTTTGATTGTGCTTTTTTTTTTTTTTTTTGCGTGTGTGTGTGTTTCTTTCTATATAAGGGCTTTGTCTTGCAGTTTTTAGTCTTTTCTTAGCGCTCTGTCAGTTACGAAGGGCAGAGAGGAAAGGAGAAAATAGAAACAAGGGAGTCAACATCAACAACAACAAACAACATATGTCCCTCATTGTGGCTGGGGCCACAGGGGCTATTGGTCGATGCGTCGTCCGTGAGGCGCTGAAACGGGAGGAGTTTGCGCGGGTCGTTGCACTGACGCGGTCATCAGCTCTTTCTGATCCCGCTGCTCTCTTTGGGCTTACCGTTGTCATGGACGCATCGGAGGCAAACGTCCCGGACGCAATAACGAAGGAGCAGTTGAAGCGGCTTTTGGCTGTGACATTTGACTGGGAGAAGTTCTTGCTTTTCTGGCAGGGGCTTAAGGCGCAAAAGGCAAGCCGAGCGGCGAACACATCGGCATCCACCGAGGGCAATGATGGGATTGAGGCGACGCATTACAAAGAGATTTTTGGCGGTCATAAGTACGGCGCGATGTGCCTTGGTACCACACGTCGAGATGCGGGAAGTGCGGTGACTTTTGAGCGGTGCGACTACGATTATGTTGTCGCCTTTGCTGAGGCTCTGCGTGAGTTCAGCGGCTCCACTCTTGTCACCTACGCGCAGATGAGCGCACAGTTTGCAAACGAGGATTCGTGGCTACTTTACAGCAAAACAAAAGGACGCGCTGATGCTGCCGTGGAGAAGCTGGGGTTTCCGCATTTGTGCATATACCGCCCCGGCCTGCTGGATCGCGGTGCAAAGACACGCTTCAATGAAAAGATCGCAAAGTGGTTTGTGAGTGGCCTGCCCGTTGAGACATGTGGCAAGGCGATCGTGAGTGAATTTTTGCGTAGTGGCAATGACGCGCTGTCCCTGTCGCGTGAGTGCGCCGGAAAACGAAAAAAACAGGCGGTGAAGGGCGAGACCAAAACCGATGCGGAGGTGTTCATCTTTGCAAACAATAACATAAAAAAAGAGGCTGCATATATCAGTTGACCCCGCGAATCTTTTTTTTTTTTTTTTTGGCACATTTTTATTTGTGCCGCCTGGTTTTTTTTGTGACTTTTACGTTAGGTATAAAACGTATATATATATATATATATATATTTCTTCTTTTTTGTGGTTGCTCACACGTGTATCTCTCTCTTTTTTTTTTTTTTTTGAGCGACCCACGGCGTTTTAGGAGCTTGTGAAGAGAATGATCATCACAGAGGAAAGCTGGCTGCCTTAATTAGTTTTAAATCCTGATAATAACGAGTTTACTTCTTTATGATAATTTTCTCTGTCTTATGATTTTTGGGAAGAACACGACTTTATGAGGAGAGCAGCAGGGAACCGATAGGGGCCAGAGTATTTTTTATTTTTATTTTGCCACCCACCCAACCCCTGTTGATACCCACCACGCGGCGGTGTCTTGTGGTTGGAAGACCCCAAAAGTCTGCCACGTCGTAAGTAATGATATGTAAATCCTAACTGAGGACAAAAGACCATGCGAACGGTCAGTAGAATATATATTATTGCAGGGAAACATTGAGGCAATTAACAACCTCTGCGATAACCCCTTTTTTTTCTCATACCTTGTTTTTGGTTTCTACAGGAAATTTCAGGATTCGGCCAGCGGCGCAGAAGATTATTCACTCTTTTTTTTTTTGTTGTTTTGTTTTGAAGTTCAAATCCAATGAGAACGCCGTTGAGGATAAATATATCTATATTTTGATGAAATCTTTTTTTTCTTCTCTCCTTTCCTTTCTTGCTCTCTTTCTGTGCGCGGTGCTTCATTCTGTTTTCTCCTGCTTTTGTGCGTATTTCCCCTGTTTTTTTTTGATGGCTTAGTCTCAAAGCGTTTTTTTTTTTTTTTTTTCTCCTCGCGGTGGTGTGTCTGCTTGTTGGCTTTGGCGGACCGCGCGATTTTATTTTTAGCTCCCTTCCCCGCTCGGAGGGATTAGAAGTTTTGTTTTACGGGGCAGCACAGTCCATTCGCCACGCACACGGGTGAGTCGTTGACCCACCACCGCAGGAGGCACTGGCACGACGCTTTTGTGCGTGTTTTTTTTCTTTTTTCTTTTTTTTTCCCCCCTTTTTTTGTTTTTTTTTTTGAGTTTTTTTTTTTTTTTTCTGTTTTCGTGCAGTTTTCGCTCGGGTCTTTTTTCTGGCGGCTGATTGTCAGTTGCGGCTGCTGGCAGTTGGAGTGGTTGGGAGGGAGGAGGGAGGAGGACGAGTTCTGCCGTTGTCTTTAGTGCGCCAACATGGACTTTTTCACTGTGCTGAACCAACGACAGCTGGATCAAAACAGTGAACTTCGGAGAATATACCGTGTCTCTGCGTGTTACGCGACAGCGGCCCTCGGGGCGCTACTTTTAGCATCCGTCGCAGTCCCTATGGACTATTCAGCGGGAGTAATAAAACGTGGCTTTCAACATACTTTTTCCCTGATGTTATTTTTGATCTTCACCATTGTGGCGTACCTCATGATGGTGCGGGCACTCAATGTGCTTAGCACCAACCGTTTTATTCTTTCGCCCGCCTATGCCTCGTCGTGTTCAGCCCCCTTTGCGTTTTCCATCGCATTGCCTTATCAGGCTTTCACGCGTAAAAAACGAGTCGTTCTCACTTACGCTCCGCTCTTTCTCACACTTATGTGCTTGTATGTTGGGCTTTTTGTAAAGTCCTACATTTTGTATATCTGTTTCTTGTTCTTGCATATTGTCGTGTTCTGTATCTTGTGGATCATTTTGAGTCGTTTGATTAGCCCCTTACTTTAACGGACGAATGCTTTTAGAGGGAACACAGTTGCTCAACCAGATGTGTGGGGAGGGGTGAGAGAGGGAAGGATGGAGGGGGAGGAATAGAGGTGAGAGAAAAAAGGAAAAAAAGGAGAAAACCCCTGGTATGGTGTGAGATTGCATTGAGAAACATTGTGGCTTTTAGGTGTGCTTCGCACGGCGCTGGAAAGATACGGGAGAAGCAAACTCTGTCGCCATGTGGTTGGGTCTCTGATTTTGTTCAGAATTCCGCAGAGCGTTTTATTCCCTTCATTTTTGCACCCCGGCATCATTGATGTGACATTCTGCTTCTGTTTTTTTTTTTTTTTTGTCTCCGTGTCGTGCGGAGGCTTATGTTTATTTATTTTTATTTGTCGGTGCGTGCATTTGCTTCTTGGTTGTTTGATTTTCTTTTTTGATGACGGGTAGAACCGTGCCTCACAGCGGGGTAGAGGCAGGGAAGCACGCTCTTATTGAGGGGACCTCACGTCTCTTGCTGGCAACGGATGAATCCATCAACCGCCTCCACGGGGCCAAATGCGGTGGCATGCACCACACACACGTTTCACGTAGCGAAACCGTCCGTTCCGCCAAAAGGTCGCGCTGTTCGTCGGACGAAAGAGGCTATTCCGACCAGAGCCGCGGCCGTAGTGGCACCTTTACGCCGTAGCGAGCTGGAGGAACGACTGCAGTACCTTCTACAGGCCGAAGAGGAACTGGCATCCGCCGTTGGGCCCAATGATGTAATGCAAGTATTAGAAGAGCTGCGACGACGTCGCCAGGACCGAAAGGCGGTTGCTCTCCCAAGAAAACGCCTTTCGGAGAGTTTACATTTTATTTGTCCACATGTGGCGACTTTAGTGAGGGCATGTGAGTCAACTTCTGATGAGGCCGTGGTACAAATATTGCGTGAGTTTTATCAAAGTCACTATGCAACCGGTGGTAATGAAAAGGGTCGGTCATTGGTGTCTACGGCGCTTGCAGAGGTTTTACTGAAGCGAGGGGCAAACGAAAATGATATTTCAGAGGCTCTTTCTATGTTGGACGATGCGGTGGCGAATGGACATACGGGAGCGATGCTTCTGGTCGGTCTTTGTCTGCGTGATGGGATCGGGGTGCCCAAGGACTTGGAAGCGGCACTCGTGTGGGTTGAACGTTCCGCTGACGCTGGCTATGCCCCTGCAATGTTTGAACTTGGGGTGATGTACGAAGATGGCGTAGAGGATTGTGGCAAGAGCACTTTGCCTGCTGACTGGGGTGAGGCGGCGGAATGGTATAAGGGGGCTGCAGATCGTGGACACACAATGGCCCAGCTGAATTTAGGCAAACTCTTGTGGAAGGCAGCGGCACTGGCACGTGACGCCAAACCTTCCAACTGCGAAGAAAGTACTATTGTAAATCTTCAGACCAAATCCCGCGCATGGTTAGAAATGGCGGCGTCTTCAGGAAGTGAGGAGGCCGTGCGGCTCCTTCGCCGTAGATGATGATGTGTGTGCGTGGGACGGAAGGCATGTGCTTTCTGCCGCTATGGAATTTTTTTTTTTTGTTGTGTGTATTTTGGTGAGCTGAAGTTATCATCAACATTATCATGTGGCTGTAGTTTTTTTTTTTTTTAATCTTGTCACTCAGTGCAGATGTTATATATATTTATATATGGTCCACCCCCTTGCCACATGTGAACACCAAATGCACAGTGAAGATATCCAGGGGGAAATAAGAGGAATTGAAGTTTGGGCACATTTATGCCTGACACCTTCACGATTTATTAATTTATTTATCTTTTTTTTTTTTTTCTTTTTTTTTCTTTGCGTGTGTGTTTATATATGAGTTTTCTTCTTTTCCGCCCCGTCATTTTTTTGCCTTTTTTTTTTCTTTTGTGCTCGTCAGAAACTAATTTGAATTGGGCGTCCCAAGCGCAACACACACACACAAACAGAGAGAGAGAGAGAGAGGGAGAAGTCGACGTAATAAATAAAGCGCGAAGAAAAAATCCACTGAACGGGCATCCACCGCAGAGGGCGAAGGGGAGTAATAAATTAATCAGGCCGCTGAGTCTTAAAGAAAAAAAAAAGGGGGGGGAGGGGCGGGGAAATAAAAGAAGAAGTGGTTGACACTCGAAAATTGTAGGGGAACACTCCGCGAAGCGATAGGAAAAGGAGGGTGTTAGGGATAGAAATAAAAGTAAACGAGACACACACACACGCACACAGGAAGGAAGGCAAAGAAAGAGGAAGAAGAAGAAGAAGAAAAAAAAGACAGTTGGTGAACACCAGGAGGAGCGGCGCCCCGACAAGAATTGAGAAAGGAGTGTACATTGAGTTTATTTTCTGTTGACTCTTATTTTTATTATTCGTCTTCTTTTTGTTGGGGGCCTTTTTGCCTTTTCCCCTGCGCGTTGTTGACATCTTGTGGGGACTCCACGATGATTCCGAAGAATAACATAATTTGTGAGGTGCGCCTGCTGCAGCGGCGTCACTGGTCGACGTGGGTGACAGTGTGGGCTTTTGTG